CCAAGTCCTCCCTTCCCCCTACCCAACCTGGGCAGGAGGGCGAAGGGCTACAGTTGCTGGGTGTTTATATAGAAAGTAGGTTGATTTTTATTTTACATGCTTTTGAGTTAATGTTGAAAAACTAATCACAAGCAGTTTCTAAACCAAAAACGACATGTTGTAAAAGGACAATAAACGTTGGGTCAAAATGGAGCCTGAGTCCTGGGCCCTGTGCCTGCTTCTTTCCTGGGAAGGGCCTTGGGCTGCTCCTCACTGCCAAGGCACTCTTCCAAATGTGAAATACTAGAAGTGAGGTTGCACCCTCTTCCCCTCCTGATTTAACATTGGTGTGCTGCTGCCTTGCCCAGTATCTGCGGTTTCACTGGATAGGACTGCAGTGGAGGGCAGGGTACAGCCTGATGCAGCTTGAGAAGTGGGGAATATGACATCCTCTACCTGTATTTGATGGGGATGGTGAGACTAGGCCTGTAGAGTCCCCTTTTCCTGACCAAGGCTGGGTTGGGATATAGTCTCTGTTTGGAGATGGATGTTCTCTTGATGCATCTTAATTTTCATATATTCATGTTCTGGTTGAGGATCACTTAAAATTATGTCCACCTTTATGTAATTTGTATTATAAAAACATAGCTTTTTTTCTAATATAAAATTCTAGTTTTGGATGTGTTTCTTTCTAAACTGAACATCCTCCCCTGCTCCTAGCTTTTCAGATGATTGCTTGTATAATTTTGTCCAGGTATAGTGTGTCCTCTTTGTTCGACATGTACCAGCATAATCACTTAGTGTTTCTGAGTGTTTCTGGGATTGGTATCGTGATGCCTTACTGAAGAGTATGATGCAGAGAAAATAATCTGCTGAATCAACCTAGTCATTCTAGTATTTACACCAGCCTCCAGTTTGACATTTATAGGTAGGTAATCTGCAAGGACTCAAGATAGTTACACAGGCTGATTAAATTGGGGCATCTTGAACTCGTGCTATGAAATGGATATTCTTACACTTTTGTGATTTGCATTGACTCTCCCTGTTAACCGTGACACTTTTCTCTACCAGATCTTGTCTTTGCTCCTCTGTTGGTTTTCACACCATTTAGGTATCCTGATGGTTCAGCTTTCAGTCTTCTTACTCTTACATTGTTGCACCATCTCATCCCTGTGGCAGCCTAACCTCAGTGAGACCAAAGGCAAGGTCTTTTGGAGAAAAGACATTTGGTACCTCTGCGTCAAGCTGTGGGAACAGAGCAGAAGGCAAGATCCCACAAAATATGTGGAGGGTACTAATAATTAATACGTTATAGAAATTTATGTTAGAATGATTGCTTTGCACTCACTTAAAACACAAAGTATACCTATAGGGAAGGTGGTTGGAACTCTATAGACTCTTTAGGAAAAAACAAGAGCAGACTTGTGAGAGGCCTGGTTTTGCTTCTGACATGTGTGCTTATAGCAGTGTAGCATCAAACAAGGAAGACTCTTAGCTCTTCTGGGGCCTCAAGATTTCTTTGATAAAATGATTGACAGTGCTTCGTAAACTGTAGAAGGCAGTGTGAGGGACAGTTTGTTGTCAGCATGCACCTGCAGAATTCTGTATACTTAAACAAATAGGTGAACTGTAAAGCCAGTTTCTCTTTTCCCCCACAAGTTTCCCAGGAAGAAATTGGAATGTAGTAGTATTATAGCAAATTAAGTTCTATGATTAGAAGATGAGTTTCTAACCAAGAATATGGCATCAAATTAGATCATAGAAGACCAACAGTTTACCACAGAAGCAAAATCAAAGATGGAACTATAAATCTAACTTTTGGAGATGTATTGGGGTCTAAGATACTGATCCTGAAAGTAACCTTGAGAGTCTAGTGGTTACATAATGCCCAGGAGGAACACGGATTGATCATTGCTTTGAGCTTAGCAAATGTTAAGTGAAGTGAAAGTCTGTCGTGTCTGACTCTGTGACCCCATGGACTGTACAATCCATGGAATTCTCCAGGCCAGAATACTGGAGTGGGTAGCTGTTCCCTTCTCCAAGGGATCTTAGTTTGTTAATCTTGCCAAGCCCTACAAACTACTGAGGCCATAAGACTTAAGAACATGATGTGGATTTTTTTATAAAGCTATTGAGAGATGCATAGATTTATTAAATGGCCCAAAGACAAGTGGAAATTAAAATTGCATTGTCTTTGAGACTACGAGACTTTTTGGAGGTGGATAGGTGAGAAGGGAAGTACCTTCAGTTCTACTCTTAGCCAGCAGGTGGTGAGTTGATATCAGCCTGTATATACAGTTCAGTTCAATTCATTCGCTCAGTCGTGTCCGACTCTTGGGACCCCATGAATTGTAGCACGCCAGGCCTCCCTGTCCATCACAAACTCCCGGAGTTTACTCAAACTCATGCCCATCGAGTCGGTGATGCCATCCAGCCATCTCATCCTCTGTCGTCCCCTTTTCCTGCCCCAATCCCTCCCAGCATCAGGGTCTTTTCCAGTGAGTCAACTCTACGCATGAGATGGCCAAAGTATTGGAGTTTCAGCTTCAGCATCACTGTATATACAAGTTTGGGCTAAATAAAGCGTCCGAACAGAACAGTAACAATGAGGAGGCAGAAGCAGCTGCATGTGACTTCCGACTGGCTGTTTTTGTCAACCAGATACACAGGGTGAAAAAAGCAACTGGTGTGGGAGTGTGGACTTGACCTCACAGAACCTCACTGTCTTTGAAGAGCTTAATAGCTACAAAACCAGTGCTATCAACAAGGCATAAACTGTTAAGGCAGCAAGGAAGGGGAAGCCATACCAAGATAAGGGAATCTCAAGCCTCTGGAGGTAGTAGTCTGAGCTGGATGTTAAAGGAAGGCAGGAGGCTTGACGGAGTCAGAGCTTAAGAAGCATTAGGTTGACTAGCAAGGAAGTGAATTCTGAGAGTCCAAACCACATGAAGAACCTCAGATGCCAAGTGTGAACTTTATTTTAAAGATGTCATGAGTCCTCCGGGGGTTTAGGCAGAAAGTAGCCATCAGGTTTCTAGACAATTCACATTTCCCCCCACTTTTTTTCCTGTGGCGTAATTTCACCCAACAATTTCCCATGTACAGTACAGTATTGTCAACCACATGTATGTGGTTTTATGTAGACAGTTCACTAACACCCCTTCTGCCTCTGCCTGCTGTGGCTTGTGGGATCTCAGTTTCTTGACCAGGGATCAAACCTGGGCTCCCACAGTGAAAGCACTGAGGCCTGTCCACTGGAGCACCAGGGATTTCCTGATAAATCACTTGAAAAAAAAAAAAAAACTTGGGGAGTTTCCTGGTGGCCCAGTGATTAGGACTTGGTGTGTTTACTGCTGTGGGCCTGGGTTTGATCCCTGATTGAGGAACTAAGATCTGCAACATGACCCCCGCACCCCCCCCAAAAAAAATTGTGAGATAGTCATCTTTTTTTTTCTTTTTGAGGGTAAAGGAGGAATCAAAGATGGCAGGTGTCTGGCTTTGTATTGGGGTGGACGTGGTACACCCCTTCAATAGGAACGCACACATTGAAAGAAAAGATTAAAGGGAAAAAGTAGGTTTTGAACAAGTTGAATATGTGGTTATATATGCAGATCTGAAGCCTAGAGATGGTTTATAAATGACCTATGTTTTGAAGTATAGCACCTAAGGGAATGGGTTGAAGACTTTTTTTAATGCCGTTGATAAAATTGGACATCTTTTTGCAGGGGTGGGGGAATCAGATACCCTAATCAAAAGTTACATTAATAGTCTAAACGTACATCTGTGGGAGTTCCTTGGTGGTTCAGTGGTTAGGACTGCACCCTTTCCCTGAGGAGGGCACAGGTTTGATCTCTGGTTGGGGAACTAAAATTACACAAGCTGTGAGGTACAGCCATAAGTAAATAAATAAACAAGTATACATCCATGAAAGTGCTAGAATAAAGTGTTTTAGAAGCCATAAAGAAAAATGTTGATAGATTTAAACTCTGGCATGGTAAAAATCACCTTAAAATTAGAAAATAAACTACATAAATAGGGAGAAAATATTTGCAGCAAATGTAACAGGTTGAATTAATATCTGTGATAGGCAGGATAATGCCATTCCTGAGCTTGCCTGCCCCCCACCCCCCAATGTCCACATCCATATGAATGTTATGCTATATGGCCAAAGAGAAAGTTGCAGATGGAATTAAGGTTGCTAAGCAACTGACTCTAAGATAGGAAGAGTATCTTGGATTATCAAGATGGGCTCAATTTAATTAAAAGTACCCTTAAAAGTGTTACAGGGAAGAAAAAAATGACATGAGAAGTTAACTTTCTTTTGCTAGTTTTGAAGATGGAGGAGGAGGCCAATAGCTGAGGAATGAGGGAGCCTCTAGAAGCTGGAAAGACAAGGAATGAACCCTACCCAGTGCCCACAGAAAGAAATACGGCCCCACCAACCTCTTGATTTTAGCCCTGTGAGACATATATCAGACCTAACAAACTTTGTGTTGTTTTGTGGTAATTTGTTATGGCAGCAGTAGAAAAGTAATAACTATTATAAAATGCAATAGAAAAACGGGTATACAATATGATAGAAATCCAGATGACCACTTAACAGGAAAAGGGACTAAACTTTTGTGACCTTGGGATGCATGAGCTAAACCTGAGAAAGAGAGCAGAGGGCTGACAGGAACTGGCTAGAAAGATAGATTTGTGGATCAAGTAAAGGAGGAGATCATGCCCAGGACCAACAACAGCTGCCTAGCCTCAGATCAGTTGTGGTCCTGTGAAGGGGTGTATTTTCCTTCTATTGACTTCCTGCAGAGTTTTTCTCAAGGGCAGCACTGGTCTGTGCTTTCCTGGCCCTAACAGCCTCACCCTGTACAGGACTCCAGGTGATGATGTGAATAGCTGGAAAGAAGGTTAACCCACAGAACCCCAAGCTTGTGGGACCCTGATCCTGGGGATGTGACAGCTGCAGCAGCACAGGGAATTGACATTCCCAGTACCCCAGACCAAAGAAGACCTGAGTGGGGTTCTTCTAGTTCAGCTAGTTTATTAGGATTTCCTTTGTCTCCCCACCCCCCAACTGGTTTGACTTCATTTCTTGGGATACTTATATTGGGTGCCAGTGCTACCAGGCTTTCCTCTGCTGATGGATTTGGTGGGCATGGGTTCATGGGTACCCAGAAACTTGGCTAATATCCATTGAAGACTGCTGTTAAGGGGAGCGGGAGGTGAGGAGGAAAGATGCTTCCGTGCCCAAGGGCAGGGCTTACAGCGCCTAGGGGCCAGAATGTCAGGAGTTCCCAGCCTTGCCCCTCTCTGACCTGGGGAATTTACATACTTGGAGTGAGGCAGGGGGGAGAAAGCAGTGCGTGGAGAGCACTGGTCGCTGCGCTGAGATCTTCGTGAAAGTCTGCTGACAGGGATCTCTGCTAATCTGGCCTGAGCTGGGTGGCTTTCCCCTGTAACTGTGGATGACCCCAAACTTGCATCTGCTTCTCCATAGTCTCCTTCTTTGGGTTTCCTGGGGCTGGCTCCCTTTTTGGCTGAAGATAGAGCTGAAGCTTTGTCTTGTCTCTTGCCTGAGGCTGCAACCGCAGGGTTGGAGGGCTCTTCCTGGCCCAGGCAGTTCTCACCAGCCTCCATGTGAACACATGACTCTTGGGGTGAGATCTGGTACACCGTCTTTGCTTGCTTGCTTTGCTCTTTCCGAGACCCTTGTTCTGGCCTGCCAGACTTTGGTATCTGAGGTTGGAAAGAGAAGTGGGGGTGATAGCAGTAGGGGACCTGGACAGGCTGAGTTACTGTGCTCTGAGCTTTGGGGGGATGACAGCTTGAAGAGTGGGGCCAAGGACTTGGGGGATGAGTCTGCTGTGGTGGGCAAGAAGAGAGTTTCCGGGTGGCTTGAGTTGTGGAGCTCAGGGTCAGGGAGCTGCTGAATGATTGACTTGGAGATCTGGAAACAGGGATCTGCTGTAGTTTGTCCAGCCTGAGTTCCAACTCCTTACTCCAGCGCCAGGCCTGGATCCTGGGGTAGGTGGGCACCTTTGGGGTAGCCTCACCCTGGGAGGATGGAGTCTCTGCGTTAGCCCCTGTTAACAGCCCTCCCTTGGGTAGGCCAGGTTGGTTGGACTCAATCTTCAGAGCTTGAGCTTGGGCAGGAGGCCAAGGTATTGGCTGTAGGGGATCCACTGCTGGAGGATTGGGGTCCTGGGGGATCCCTCTGAGGTGTTGCATATTCCTTCTCACAAACTCAAGGTCAATGTGTGGATCTGGTAGAAGAGCAGAGAACCTGGGAGTTAAGGCTGGGAGTTCAGTGGTCCTGCAGTTCTCTGTATGTTTCACTGTTTCCCACTCAGGCTTCTCGTCACGTTTGTCTCCAATAGGCTCACTCGTGTGAGAGTTTGGGAGTGGGCTGGGGCCCCACACTGGGGACGCAGGGACCCAGCAGATTTCTTTCTGCTCCACATCCCCGTGAATAGGCTCAGAGTCAGGCTGGACTCCCAAGGAGCTGGCTCCATGTGGGTCTTGGGGCAAGCTGCAGTCTGGGAGCTCCGAGATCTGGGAGTCCTTTCTCCCCCCTAGATCCCCACATCTAGCTTCAGATTCAGATGGGACCCCCATAGGGCTAGCTCTGAGGGAATCCAGTACAAGAACTGGGGGTGTGCTGAAGGCCAGAGATGGGGATTCAGAAGCCCAGGAATTCCTGGAATGATCGGTGTCCTTCCATGCAGTTTCTGACCCAGTGAGGCCTCCCACAGGACTGATTCTGTGGTGTTCTAGAACAGGAGCTAGAGATAGGCTGTGGCCAGGGGCTGGGGACTCTGAAGTCCAGAGGTGGTCTCTCTGCCTCATGGCCCCCCTCAAAGCATTGGAGTCAGACAAGACTGCCTGGACACCTGTGCCTATGGACTCCAGAGAAGCTGAGGGGAAGCTGGGAGGTGAAACTGGGTCTGCAGAGACCCAAAGATTTTCTTTACTCTCCATGCTCTTCCTCGGAGTCTCAGGTTCTAATGGAACACAAGCTGATCTTGTTCCATGGAGTCCTGGGTCGAGGTCAAAGGCTGGAGGCTCAGAGGCCCAAGGTTTTGTTGAATTTTCTTTGTATCTCCACTGGGGCTCATATCCAGATGACTCTCCCAGGAGTCTGCCTCCCAGGAGTTCTGGCAGGGGGTGTGGGGGAGGGCAGAGGGCTGACATTGGAGACCCAGAGGCCATAGGGCTTGCTCTGTGTCCCGAGGATCCCCAGAAATCCTTGGTTGCAGAAAGTCCTCCTTCAGGACTGACTTCCTGGGCTTCTGACAGAGATGGGGGCTGGCAGGGGCCTGGCATTGGGGGCTGAAAGGCTTGAGTACTCTCTTTAGGTCCTGTGGTTCCCCATTGAGTCTTATCTGCAGGTGGAACTCCCAGGATGCTCGTTCCTTGAGGCTCTATCAAGGGGGCTACAGATTGGCAAGGGACCAAGATTGCAGGCTCAGGGATCTGAGACTTCTCTCTTTGCCTCATGGTTTCCCAGAGGGCCTCAGATCCAGAAGGGCCTCCAAGAGGGCTGACTCCCTGGCATTCTGGCAGAGAAGCTTGGGTTAGGCTGGTAGCTGGCATTGCTGGCTCAGGGATTTTGGGGTCCTCCTTTTGCCCCATGGTCTGCCATGGGGCCTCAGACCTAGTTAGGGCTCCCAGAAGACTAGAGGGATTCTCTGCTAGGGAGGCAGAGAGTGAGTCTGGAAAGTGTTGTTGGAGGCTAGGATTCCATGGTACCTTCCACCAGGCCTCAGATGAATAGAAGAACTTGGAGGGTCTGGTTCTTTGAAAGTTAGGCTGTTGGTGCAGAGCTTGATCCCCAGAGACCCAAGGGATCTCTCTCTGCTGCGTAAGCCACTGTGTATTTGCCTCAGTGCCAGACAGGGCTCTTTTATGGTCCATGGGAAAGGTGTTAAGATGAAGGGGAAGTGATGGGACAGGAGGGGAAGATGGAGGGGGAAGTTGCTGAGGATCAGAGGCCATCCTTTCCAGATCCTCTGTAGTATGGGCTTCCTGGGTGCGAAGCGGGGTTGGGAAGCAATACTGGGGAAGCAGTAATACTCGGGATCTAGGCAGGAAGGCAAGCTTGTTAAAGACGACAGAGGGACTAACAGATAGCTTCAAGGGAGAGAGGCCACCTGCGCTCAGGAAGATGGCCTCCAAGGACTCACTGTGCAGAGAGGGCAGACCCCAGAAGAACTGGCTTTTTCTCTCCTGTGGGCGGCTCCCTGATGCTGCCGTGTGCCTCACAGGCAGGTTGGTCAAGATCTGAAAGGTGGGGAAGGATCTGGGAGGGTTTGGGGTCTGCGTGAGTCCTTGCTCTAGTGTGCCTGTGACCTTGTCGAGGCCTTCAGAATTACAAGATGGCTGGGATGGGGCTGTAGTGACTTTCTCTCCAATAGGAGCTTCTTTAGGAAGAGAACGTGTCTTCAGTGGATCCAGAAATGCCTCCTCTTCCTCCTCTGACTTCTGCTTCCACAGGCGATCAAGGAAAGCCACACGGTACAGAAGTGGTAGGCCCTGGGGAGGGGAGGAAGATATAGTCAGGCGTGAAGCCTTTCCGGAGACACAGAGAGTATCATGAAGCCCTCAGTCTCTGGTCTGCACCCAGAGTGGACAGTCACTCACTGGGGCCCTTGTCTGGGGACAAAAGTCCCTTACCCATCTGCTGTTAATGGCCATTACCCAGCCACATTTGGAGACCAGCATTCCCTTACATAACTCAACATCTAGGGTCAGTGAGCATTTACCTGGCTTCAAATGTCGTGTTAATGGCAAACTGCACCCGACCTCAGCCTTAAGGCTTATGTGGTCACCTCTTTGGGCCCACATTGATGTCGATGACTCCTCCCCTGAACTCACATGTGGTGAATCGTTTAACCCGGCTGCACTGCTGGACCACTCACCTTGCCTCTCATCTTGTCCCCAGAGTACCAGGGCTGAAGCTGCCACCATCTCCCAAGCTGCCACCACCTCTGGATCTGCCAAACCATGAACAAAAACAGTGTTATCAGATTCCCTGGACTCTGGAGGCAGCTGCTGCCACAGTGTCGGCAGGCTAGGGCATAGGTCAGCTGGTTCCAGAGAAGCCCCACGACCCCCTCAGAGCCACGCAGGTCCTCTGGCAGCCATTCCATTTTCCTCAGCCTAGTGGCAGTTTACCCTGAGGTCATCACTGCATCACAGAACAAAGAACTCCCATCCCCCCACATACCTAACAGCAGTCTGTCTGAATTTAGGGCCAAAAAATTGCCCCTACCAGACAACTCATACTTCATTCAGTGAAACCTGAGTGATCCCCTTTTGTCTTGATTTCTAAGATCAGAATTACCTTCAGGCATTGTGGTTGAGGACATGGATTCCAGCATCAAGCTGCCTTATTCAAATCCTAGCTCTGCCACTTCTTACCTGTGAAGTCTCAAAAGACTCAAACTTTCAGTGCCTCAATTCTCTCATCTGTAAAATGGGGATAATATTATTACTTAGCACATAGAGTTGTTTTGAAGATTAAATGAAAACATTTATATGCTTAGAGCAGTACATAGTATATGCTGTGTTAAAATTTTCTTTTGTTGCCATAAATGATCAACAACCAACCTAAAGTAAGATTAGAATAGAGAACAGTTTTATTTGAGTCAAGCTGAAGACTGTAACCGAGGAGACAGCCTCTCATAGCTCTGAGAAACTACTCTCAAGAATCCTGGTTTCCAGCACAGCTTTACATCTTGTCAGAATAAAGGACATCAAACATAACAGGGGTACATTTCTTCCATGTTTCAAAAAAAACAGATTAGCTGGTACACAGCAAGTCAGTATGGCCTTGGTACCTGGGAAGTGAACCTTATCGTCAAAGGAGTACTGGCCATTGGCCTCCCACGAAGGAAGGCATTTATCTCTAACTTCAAAACAGATATTCTTTACTTCTGGACAATGCACCCTTTTCTTCAGTGGTTAAATCAGATATACAGTGTGTGTTTGATAGACTACAAGACAGGCTTGTAGCTAGTATAAAGTTCAAGTCAAATCATTTATAAGCCAGGATGACTTCCCCATACCTCAATATGTGAAAATTTTTTCCATCACTTTTATTTAAAAAAATTTTTTTAAATTTATTTTCGGCTGTGCGCAGGCTTTTTCTAGTTGCGGCAAGTGGGCTTCTCATTGCCGTGGCTTTTCTTGTTGTGGAGCAAAGGCTTTAGGGTGCACGGGCGTCAGTAGCTGTGGCACACGGGCTTAGTTGCCCTGCAGCATGTGGAATTTTCCCAGACCAGGCATCAAAGCTGTGTCCCCTACATTGGCAAGTAGATTCTTAACTACTGGACAACCAGAGAAGTTCTTTTCATCACTTTTAAAGTTCCTAATTATTAATATAAGCCTCATTCCATCTTTAATAGGTGGAGTCTGTTTCCTCTTTTATATCTCATGTCTTTAGGTTGCCTGAGATCTTTTTTGCAAGCATTCATGTTAAGGATGACAGTAAATCAAATGTGCTTGATCTTTTTTTTTTTTTTTTTTTTTTGTTTTTTNTTTTTTTTTTTTTTTTTTCGTTTGTTCCTCTTTCTCCTAAAACCACCACTCTGTCCCATTTCAACTCCTCTTTTTTGGATCAAACTTCAATATCTGCATTTGCAGTACAATTCAGAGCCTCTCTTTTCACCCTACCCCATCAGCTGCCAGCTTAGTCTGGTAGAAAGACCGTGAGTTGAAGTTTAGGAGACGGATTTTCTAGCTCTATCACTGTTTGTCCGTGTGATCTTGGGCAAGAAGGCGTTCTCCACTGGTACCATGATTTGGCCTACATTTATTCATTCACTCAATCCAAATATATTTATTAAGTGCTTCCTGTGGACCAGGTATTATGCTCAATCTTGAGGAGGCAAATGATAGGGTCTCCGTGCTAAAGTAGTTCCCATTTCAGTGAGGGAAATAGTCAAATAGTAGAAGTTAAATAGAGATATGCACAGGGTACTAAGGGGGTGGAGGACATCTAACCAGCTTGGGAAAGGGGATGGTTTGTCAGAGGGTGCTTCCCAGAAGAGATCAATGCTTAAAGAGTCAAGAAAATGAGAGGGTAGGAAGCAAGAGGACAATCCAAGCAGTGGGAATAGCCTGTGTAAAAATGGTGGAGCTGAGAAAGCATTGGAGAAGGCAATGGCAACCCTCTCCAGTACACTTGCCTGGAAAATCCCATGGATGGAAGAGCCTGGTAGGCTGTAGTCCATGCAGTCACAAAGAGTCGGACACGACTGAGCGACTTAACTAACTAAGGGAAGCAGTAGAATAGACGAGATCACAAAGGGCCCTGAATACCAGACTAAGAAGTTGGAACTTTATCCTGAAGGTGATGGGAAATAGTTGAGAAGTTTTGAGCAGGGAAGAGGCAAGATCAAGTTTGTGTCTTGGAAAGAATACTCTGGCTATAGTGAGGGCAGAGATTGAGAACAAGAGATTGGGTAGGGAAACTTTGCTTTAGTTTGGGCAAAAGACGAGGCTTGAACCAAGGCAGTGATGGTGGGAGTGGAGAATAATAGTCAAGTAGAATTCCAAAGTTATAATTGATTAGACTTGGTTACCAGTGGGATGGAATGGAGTGAGGAGTTGTTTTGCTGAAAGTTTTTACTTTTGTCTCAGGTTCAAAGGATTTGTTAACAAAATAAATCACTTGTTATATACAAATAAATAATACAGATATTTATTAGGGAATTATCTAGCTTACTTTCAACATACTAACATTAAAAGGAAAGAGAAATAGAGCAGAGAATACATTGCCAAATTGGGTTTTGACCATCATCCAGACTTAATCAGCATTGGGAACGCCCATGTCACAGTACATCTGGAGTTCCAGTTGGGAAAGGGTCCCAGGCAGCTCTTCCACTCAGTTGGTGAGACTTCAAAGATTGCAGTTCCCGCTTATAATCCCAGGACAACCTGTGACCAAATCGCAGTTCTGGTTTCATATTAATGCTGTTTGTTTTGTTGTGTAAAACTTGGAATGTAGTTGAGCCTGGGGCTTGGTTGGCCAGGTTCTCTCCAGGGTCTCATCAATCTCAAGATTCCTCCCTCATCTTATCTATGGTGCTACAAGGCTTGCACTCACAGCAGGTCCTCACTCACAGTCACTCACAGTCAGGGCAGTGTCCAGGCAGGTTAGAAGCAAGGTCAGAGGCTTACTCTGCTTTTTCTCTGAAGCCTAAACAAGACTATTCATTTAATTTCCCTGACAGGAGTTGAGAATGACTCCAGGGTTTCTGACTTGGGGGGACTGGGTGTTTATGTTTGGGCCATTTTACTGAGATAAGTAACACAAACCTGGAGACCCATTTAGGATGATGGGGCAATGTGTTCCATTTTAGACATTTGCATTTGAGATTCTTGTGACAAGGATATGTTTGTTAGGCAGGAGGCAGTGAAATACATGCAATGAAGCTTGGGAAAGCAGTCTATTCAATTCCAGTTCAGTTGCTCAGTTGTGTCCAGCTCTTTGTGACCCCATGGAGTGCAGCAGGCCAGGCTTCCCTGTCCATCACCAACTCCTGGAGCTTGCTCAAACTGATGTCCATTGACTCGGTGATGCCATCTAACCATCTCATCCTCTGTTGTCCCCTTCTCCTCCTGCCTTCACTCTTTCCCAGAATCAGGGCCTTTTCCAATGAGTCAGTTCTTCGCATCAGGTGGCCAAAGTATTGGAGCTTCAGTGTCAGTCCTTCCAATGTATATTCAGGACTGATTTCCTTTAGGATTGACTGGTTTGATCTTGCAGTTCAAGGGACTCTCAGGAGTCTTCTCCAACACCATATTTCAAAAGCATCAATTCTTCAGCACTCAGCTTTCCTTATGGTCCAGCTCTCACATCCATACATACTACTGAAAAAAGCATAGCTTTGACTAGATGGAACTTTGTCAGCAAAGTAATGTCTCTGCTTTCTAATATGCTGTCTAGGTTGGTCACAGCTTTTCTTCCAAGGAGCAAGCATCTTTTAATTTCATGGCTGCAGTCACCATCTGCAGTGATTTTGGAGAGGCTCCAAAATCAAAGTAAAGTCTCTCACTGTTTCCATTGTTTCCCCATCTATTTGCCATAAAGTGATGGGACCAGATGCCATGATCTTAGTTTCCTGAATGTGAGTTTTAAGCCAGCTTTTTCACTCTCCTTTTTCACCTTCATCAGGAAACTCTTTAGTTCCTCTTTGCTTTCTGCCATAAGGGTGGTGTTATCTGCATATCTGAGGTTATTGATATTTCTCCTGGCAATCTTGATTTCAGCTTGTGCTTCATCCAGCCCTCCTTTTAGCATGATGTACTCTGCATATAAGTTAAATAAACAGGGTGACAATATACAGGCTTGACGTCCTCCTATCCCAATTGGAACCAGTCTGTTGTTCCATATCCCATTCTAACTGTTGTCTCTTGACCTGCATACAGAGTTCTCAGGATGCAGGTAAGGTGGCAGGTAAAGCAGTCTATAGAGTATATAAATTTGACAGCTAGCAGTATATATGTAGCAGCAAAAATCATAAAAAGGCTTAAAGATAATTACTAATAATAAGACTTGGCTCAGACAACGTGGCCAGTAGTTTGTTTCTTGTTGTTGTTTTTTTTTGGTAACTTTTGCACATGTGCACAGTTGCTCAGTCGTGTCCAACTCTTTGTGACCCCATGAATCGCAGCACGCCAGGCCTCCCTGTCCATCACAAACTCCCGGAGTTTACTCAAACTCATGCCCATCGAGTCAGTGATGCCATCCAGCCATCTCATCCTCTGTCGTCCCCTTCTCCTCCTGCCCCCAATCCCTCCCAGCATCAGGGTCTTTTCCAATGAGTCAACTCTTCGCATGAGGTGGCCAAAGTATTGGAGTTTCAGCTTCAGCATCAGTCCTTCCAATGAACACCCAGGACTGATCTCCTTCAGGATGGAATGGTTGGATCTCCCTGCAGTCCAAGGGACTCTCAAGAGTCTTCTCCAACACCATAGTTCAAAAGCATCAATTTTTCGGTCCTTAGCTTTCTTCCCAGACCAACTCTCACGTCCATACTTGACCACTGGAAAAATCACAGCCTTGACTAGATGGACCTTTGTTGGCAAGGTAATGTCTCTGCTTTTTAATATGTTGTCTAGGTTGGCCATACTTTCCTTCCAAGGAGTAAGTGTCTTTTAATTTCATGGCTGCAATCACCATCTGCAGTGATTTTGGAGCCCCCCAAAAATAAAGTCTGACTACTCATTGTCAAAAGAGATACTCAATAGGAAGAAAAGGTAACTTTGCTCTCCTCTCTTCTAAGAATTATAGGTTTCTTATCTTATGAATAGTTAATGGGTTTTGAATTTTCTAGTCCCAAATTGCAATACACCTGTTTTACAACCTTATCCAGGCTCTTGTGTGGGATGAAAATTTAAGGTGCTCTTAAGAAGAAGATGGAGGAAGTGCTGGGTTGAAAGAAGAGGAGTTGCCCAAGGATAGCCAAGTATTCAGGGCCTAGAGAAAAGAGATGTTGCAATAGGCTCCATGAATGACAGAAGTCCATTAGGAGGTTGGATTTCCCTGGTGGTAGAGTGGTAAAGAATCCACCTGCCAATGCAGGAGACTCGAGTTCGATCCCTGGGTCAGGAAGATCTCTTGGAAAAGGAAATGGCAACCCACTCCAGCACTCTTGCCTATAGAATCCAATGGACAGAGAAGCTTCACGGGCATAGTCCATGGTGTCACAAACAGTTGGACCTGACTGAGTGACTGAGCAGGCATGCCAGGAAGATTCCACATGCTGTGGAACAACTAAGCCCATGTGCCACAATTACTGAGCCTGCACTTTAGAGCCCAGAAGCTGCAACTACTGAAGCCTCAGTGCTATAACCACTGAAGCCCCTGTGCCTAGAGCCTGTGCCCTGCAACAGGAGAAGCTGCCTGTGCACCAAAGCTAGAGAGAAGCTCCCGCTCTCTGCAACTAGAAAAAGCCTGAGGACGGCAAGGAAGACCCAGCACAACCAACTATAAATAAATAAATGAAATATTTAAAAAGTCAGTTAAGAGGTAGCAGGACTTCTCACAGGGAGCGCTGATTTAATGGGTAGGGCACTAAATATCTAGTACATAGCCTGGGGAACTGTAGCGAAAGATGTTGATGTGCACACTTGGCAGAGATGCCGTGGAGTCACTTGCCTTTGTGTGGACTATATGAGTTTAGACAACACACATCCCAGTGGCAACCATGACAGACTCAAGACCCCAGGTTCTTTCCTAAATGTTTTTTGTTTTGTTTGGTCAATGTATATACCACACTAAAGAGGGGAAAAACCCCGCTCCCACACCAATCATGATTAATATTAAGTATCTTACAACCCTGATAAATAAGAGTTTTGAGCCAGATTTAGTTTAATTTAGAAAAATTAAATGTAATATTGCTTGTGCCTCAGTTGTGGGATAAATTTATACCCTAACATAACTATCTCATTTAATCTTTACAACCCTTTAAAGTAGGCATTGTTATATTCTTTCAACATAGGAGAATCTGTGACACAAAGAAGTTAACATTTATATATTATTATTATATCTATATTTCTGTGTACCCATAGTATACAGATATTCCAGAAGGCAGAGTTAGAGATTGAGAATCCCCTTGAATTGTGAGGAATCATTTGGGTATATGTGACAGAAATTAAAATCCAATCAGTGTAAATAAATGGGAATGTAAGATTCATATCTGAACAATCCAGGGGTAGGGGTGGCTTCAGGTAATAGGATTGATGCAGGGATTCAATTTGATGATATCAGGATTCAATTTTCATTTCTTTCCTCTCTTTTTTTGGCTGCATTGCATGGCTTGCAGGATCTTAGTTCCCTGATTAGGGATAGAACCCATGCCCCCTGTAGTAGAAGCTTGGAGTCCTAACCACTGGACCACCAGAGAATTCCCCCATTTCCATTTCTTGACTCTCTGTCTTATGTGCTGAATATTTTCAGGTGTTGTGTGGCAGCAAGTTCAAGTGAAGCTGAAAATGTGGTGTTGCTGTGACAATATTGTGCTTACGGATTCCAGTTGGTCATGTATCCATCATTGAACTACTCACTGAACTGCACACAGGGAAACAATGCTTCAGCTGACAGGTCTGAATCACTCACTCTTGGAGTAAGGGTGTGGAGGGAGGAACACTCCACCTGCACGTGGACTGAGACCAAAGAAGTAGGGGTATAGTCACTCCTCCAGGAGACACAGACATACTGTTTTTGGAAAGGTGCATGCCTGCTGGCACCAAAACAAGATGGCATAAAAGAGATGTCCACTACAGCTCTCTCTAACTACCCCATTCTGTTTTCTGGCCCAGAGCCATGCCAGATCTTTTGAGATCTGAGGCTTAAATTGAAACATTAATGCAATGCAGATCCTCTGAGGTTGGGGAAAGGGTTGGATGGGGCATAGAGCAGAGATCTTTTTTTTTTTTTTTTTTTTGAGCAGAGATCTTGAAGGAGGGAAATCTATGGGAGACCCAAACATCAGTGTGGATAGCCCTATTCAATGACCTAGACTCAGTTCCTAGACATTTTCATCTCAGAGTCCTTTACCTGTGCTCCTATCCAACTATGGCCATATCTGAAGCATCATCACCAGGAAACACTCTACTTTCTGAAATAATATAGTCTTACATCACTCTCTAACTTCAACCTCCAGATTTATCCTAGAATACCAACTCTTCAATCTTCTCAGGATATCTAGTCCATTGATCTTTCCACTTTCTCCCTGTCCATAAACAACCTCTTGCCTTTATTTCTTCCCTCTCCAGGACAGGCTTCATGGTTCATTACTTAATCAACATTCATGAATTCAATCTGGGAAAATCCCAACTCAATGCCAGAGCTGCTCTCTAGGAAGGCAGAGCTCAGCATTATTGGATAGAATCACACATATAGGTAAGTTGGTGCCACCATAAATTCATGGTCTATGACTAATGGTCAAATCCATCATTACTTGAAATGCATTTATTCATGCATTCCATTTATTAAGGGCCTGCTATGTGCTAGGCACTGTTCTAAGCATTTGGGATATATGGGTGATCAAAACAGGCAAAGCTTCCCTGGCAGTCCAGTGATTAGGACTCCGAGGGGGTTTGATCCCTGACTGGGGAACTAAATCCCCACAAATTCCCATCATGCGGCACACACAGACAACAGGAGGCAGAGCTTCTTGACCATGGTGCTTATGTAATTTATTTCTTAGTAAATTCTCCCACTCTACTCAAAATCAGTTCAAACCTTCTTTGCTTTTCTCCACTTCTTTCTTTCCCGGCCCCTAATAAATACGGCAGAGCTCTACTTTTCAGAGAAACCAGGAGCTATCCTATGAGAACTTTGCATCATCCCAAATCATTGCCTCCAATCTCCTTTCTTCCTGCTATAGTGAAAGGTGTTCCTCTGGGACACCTTCCTTGACGCCCCCAAGCTAGGACGGGTGCCCTTATCCTCTCCTCCACAGGCACTTTCCACACTAGACTGTAACTTGCGTCTTAATTATCTGAGGGCAGGGACCTTGTCTACCCAGTTCACTCTTTTAACCTCAGCATCAGGCGCTTAGCTTGGGCTTCCCTTGTGGCTCAGCTGGTAAAAAAATCTGTTCCGCAATGCGGGAGACCTGGGTTCGATCCCTGGGTTTGGAAGATCCCCTGGAGAAGGGAAAGGCTACCCACTCCAGTATTCTGGCCTGGAGAATTCCATGGACTACAGCCCATAGGGTCGCAGAGAGTCGGACACGACTGAACGACTTTCACTTTCAGGCGCTTAGTACATAGTTGAAGCTCAGTACTCTAAGAGTGAATGAATAAAAGGGCGAGATTTCCGGAGAGGGCCTGCTCATGGGCGGGGCCTGCTCATGGGCGGGGCCTGCTCGGGACGGGGCGTGGCCCGCTCGAGGCGAGGCCGAGCCGGGGGGCCTCAGGACTGTCTCCTCAGGCTTCTTGGAGGCCACCAGCAGACAACAGCTCAGGACGCTGAAGTAAGCATACTTGAGATCAGAGCGCATAGCTAAGACTCGGGCAAGCCTTTTCGGACGCCTCAGGGCCCATTCCGGGGCAGGACTCCTTTATCCTAGAGGCCTCTGGGTGCGGGGGCTGCGCGCAGGTCCCGCCACGGAGCGCGCCAGCTTCGACATTCGGCCGTAGCTTGGCGTCTTAAAACTGCCCAACTCGTTTTCCTCCCTTTCCCTCCGCCTTCCCTCTCCCTTCCCCCGACCCCTCTTTCCTATTCCTCCTCCCTTTTCCCCTTCCCATCTCCAGAACGATGCGTCGAGTGAAGGGCCAGCAACCCAGCTCCAGCTGCAGCACCGCGGGATCGACACGCTCTATTCCCCTGCACTTGAGGGGCCCAGTGTTCCAAAATTGTCAGGACTGGTCTGAACTGTGAAACCTGAAGGAACCGCCCCTCCGGGAGGGACTGGCGTCCTCGGGAGGGTGAAGCTTATGTCCAGGAGGATTGTTTCAGGTGGGAGGAAAAGTGGGGAGGCCCCGGGGGCTGCGGGCAGAGGGAGCAGGGGGCGGGGCGGGCCCCAGCCGTTAACACAGGTGTGGGCGCGCAGAGGTGAGGGCCCATCCCGGGGGGCTGGCTGGGCAGGCTTCTAGAGGGGAATCCGAAGCAACTGCCTTCAAATCTCTTGCTGCATTTTTTGGGGGTCTTCTGTGTGTCAGGTCCTGTATTTGATAGGCACTCTAGCTCTGTCCTCCTAGAGAGAGGAGGAGATGTTACTTTTAAAATTTTGGCTATCTGAGGTCTTAGTTGTGGCACCGAGTGGCTTTAGAGTGCAGGGCTTAGTTGCTCCCAGTCTTGTGGAATCTTAGTTCATTGACCAGGGCTCAAACCCACATCCCCTGCATTGCAAGGCAAACTCTCAACCACTGGACCACCAGGGAAGTCCCCAGGAATGTTACTGAAAAAAAAAAAAAAAAAGTTTATTTGCTTATGTCCACTAAAAAGACGCACAACGTGAGAGCTGTGCATTAAGTATTATTTGGGGCTAAAATGAGGACTGCAGTGTAGCATACAGCACCTCAGATGTCTCTGAGAGACTGATTCAAATAGGCAGTAGGGGAAGATCAGTGTATAAAATTTTGGTGAAGGGAAAGTTAACGTAATCAAGTCCTTATTTTACAAAAGGTTTTCTGCTAGTCACTGTGAAGGGATTTAATACTTTTCTAGATATGAAGAGATGTAAGAATTGGGATCATGAAATAAGTTCCTTACTATCTAAAGACCTGTTCCATCAGTTTCCCTGGAGCACTGAGTGCCTCACTTTCTACCCTGAATTCCCTTTAGGGAGTATTGAAGGTTCGCAACTGCAGCACTACAGGTAGATGGCAAATGCCCTTGTTGTTGTTTAGTCACTAGCAAATGCTCTTGGCAAGTGCCAATTTGTAGTAGTAGTCCTGTTAGTCACTCAGTTGTGTCCGACTCTTTGCGACCCCATGGACTGTGGCCCGCCAGGCTCCTCTGTCCATGGGATTCTCCAGGCAAGAATACTGGAGTGGATTGCCATTCCCTTATCCAGAGGATCTTTCTGACCCAGGTATCAAACCTGGGTCTCCTGCATTGCAGGCAGATTCTTTACCATCTGTGCTACAGGGAAGATCAGCCAATCTGTAGTTGACACTTATTTTTGGTTGTGTTGGGTCTTCGTGATACATAGGCTTTCTCTAGTTGCAATAGTAGGGTCCACTGTCTAGTTGAGGTTCGTGAGCTTCTCATTGTGGTGGCTTCTCTTGTGGCATACCATGGGCTCTAGTAGTTACCACCTGTGGGCTCCGAGGAATGTGGTATCTTCCCCAACCAGGGTTTGACCCTCGTCCCCTGTATTGGCAGGTTGATCTTATCCACTGCACCATGAGGGAAGTCCTGCATATTTCTTACATACAATATCAGATCAAATTCAGTGCTTGAAAACTTACTGTAGAATAGGCATTTCCATATATTGTAAAACATTGGGTAAATATGATTTTTTGGAGAAAACTTTGGTGTTTATTTTGTGGTATTTTATTCAGCTAATGTTGACATGATAAAGAGTTGATGTTAGAGAGGACTAAGTCTTTAAAATGTGAATTTTATTTATTTTTGGAATACATATATTTACATGGCAAAAACAAAACCTGTGTGTCCCAACACAGGGGGAAATGGTGAGGAGTTTTATGCAATGGTACAAATGAAGCAGGGCAAAAGCTAACTGAGTTTGCTAAGGGAATACACTGGTCATAGCAAACACCCTCTTCCAACAACACAGGAGATGACTCTACACATGGACATCACCAGATGGTCAGTACCGAAATCAGATTGATTGTATTCTTTGTGGCTGAAGATGGAGAAGCTCTATACAATCAACAAAAACAACACCAGGAGCTGACAGTGGCTCAGATCTTGAACTCCTTAATGCCAAATTCAGACTTAAATTCAAGAAAGTAGGGAAAACCACTAGGTAAAACCATTCAGGTATGACCTAAATCAAATCCCTTATGACTATACAGTGAAAATGACAAATAGATTCAGGGGATTAGATCTGATAGACACAGTGCCTGGAGAACTATGTATGGATATTTGTGACATTGTGCAGGAGGTAATGATCAAGACCACTCCAAGAAAAAGAAATGCAAAAAGGCAAAATGGTTGTTTGAGGAGGCGTTACAAATAGTTGAGAAAAGAAAGAAGAGAAGCTAAAGGCAAAGGAGAAAAAGGAAAGATATAACCATTTGAATGCAGTGTTCCAAAGAATAACAAGGAGATATAAGAAAGCCTTCCTTAGTGATCAATGCAAAGAAACAGAGAAAAACAATAGAATGGGAGAGACTAGAGATCTCTTCAAGAAAATTAGAGATACCAAGGGAATATTTCATGCAAAGATGGGCACAATAAAGTACAGAAGCAGTATGAATCTAACAGAAGCAGAAGATATTAAGAAGAGATGGCAAGACACAGAAGAACTATACAAAAAAGATCTTAATGACCCTGATAACCACGATGGTGTGATCACTCACCTAGAACCAGACATCGTGGAGTGTGAAGTCCAGTGGCCCTAGGAAGCATCAATACAAACAAAGCTAGTGGAGGTGATGGCATTCCAGTGGGGCTATTTCAAATCCTAAAAGGTGATGCTGTGAAAGTGCTGCACTCAGTATGCCAGTAAATTTGAGTGCCATGTGCTCAGCAGTGGCCACAGGACTGGAAAAGATCAGTTTTCATTTCAATCCCAAAGAAAGGCAATGCCAAAGAATGTTCAAACTACTGCACGATGGCACTCATCTCACACACTAGCAAAGTAATACTCAAAATTCTCCAAGTGAGGCTTCAGCAGTACGTGAACCAAGAACTTCCAGACATTCAAGCTGGATGTAGAAAAGGCAGAGGAACCAGAGATCAAATTGCCAACATCCATTGGATCGTCAAAAAAACAAGAGAGTTCCAGAAAAACATCTACTTCTGCTTTATTGACTATAAATAGTTTGTTGGATCACAACAAACTATAGAAAATTCTTAAAGACATGGGAATACCAGGCCATCTGACCTGCCTCCTGAGAAATCTGTATGCAGGTCAAGAAGCAACAGTTAGAACCAGACATGGAACAACAGACTAGTTCCAAATTGGGATAGGAGGACGTCAAGGCTGTATATTGTCACCCTGTTTATTTAACTTATATGCAGACTATATATGTGAAATGCCGGGCTGGATGAAGCACAAGCTGGAATCAAGATTGCCAGGAGAAATATCAATAACCTCGGATATGCAGATGACACTACCCTTATGACAGAACACGAAGAGGAACTGAAGAGCCTCTTGATGAAAGTGAAAGAGAAGAGTGAAAAAACTGGCTTGAAACTCAACATTCAAAAAACTTAGATAGATGGGGAAACAATGGAAACAGTGAGAGACTTTATTTTCTTGGGCTCCAAAATCGCTGCAGATGGTGACTGCAGCCATGAAATTAAAAGATGCTCCTTGGAAGAAAAGCTATGACCAACCTAGACAGCATATTAAAAAGCAGAGACATTACTTTGCCAACAAAGGTCCATCTAGTCAAAGCTATGGTTTTTTTCAGTAGTCATGTATGGATGTGAAAGTTGAACCATAAAGAAAGCTGAGTGTTGAAGAATTGATGCACTGTGGTGTTGGACAAAACTCTTGAGAGTCCCTTGGACTGCAAGGAGATCAAACCAGTCCATCCTAAAGGAAATCAATCCTGAATATTCATTGGAAGGACTGATGCTAAAGCTGAAACTGCAGTACTTTGGCCACCTGATGCGAAAAACTGACTCATTGGTAAAGACCCTGATGCTGGGAAAGATTGAAGGCAGGAGGAGAAGGGGACGACAAAGGTTGAGATGGTTGGATGTCATCACTGAGTCAATGGATATGAGTTTAAGCAAGCTCCTGCAGTTGGTGATGGACAGGGAAGCCTGGTGTGCTGCAGTCCACAGGGTCACAAAGAGTCAGACAGCACTGAGGGACTGAACTAAACTGAACTTTATGCAATGGTTCAAGGGTGGGTTGTTGAAAAGGTTCAGGGTGTGTGCAGGGCCTGCATTCCTCTAATCTGGCTTTAGGTATTCTTCTGTTGAGCTTCTGTGATTTTGGAGGTTATCAAACTGACATCTCTGGAATGAAAATGCTTCATCTAGTAGTTAACATCTTCCACAGGTGGAGCAGTGGTAAAGAATCTGCCTGCCAATGCAAGAGACACAGGAAATGCAGGTTCGATCCCTGGATGGGGAAGATCCCCTGGAGTAGGAAATGGCAACCCACTCCAGTATTCTTGCCTGGAACATCCCATGGACAGAGGAGCCTCACAGGCTACAGACCATGCGGTCGAAAAGAGTTGGACACAACTGAGCACACACATATGTTATTAGTTTTGCAGAAGAGCTCAAAAACAGTTATATGTGTATCCCTTGAGGCAAAACCTGGATCCTGTCCCAAGGCTGCACTATTGTTTCTTCACTGCTCCTCTCTGGTCTCTGCATCCCTTCCCTTCCCTGATTAGCAACTGTTTGAACCTACCTTTTGGAACTCAGGAGAGGTCATGAAGGCTGAAGCCTATTTCCTACAAACAGGAAATGGGAAACACAGTAAAACTTCCTTGCCCCGGAGCCGCATAGGGTCCTGCTTGGTTTCACGTTCTTAGTGTCACCAGAGACAGATTGTTTTTTTTTAAATTGGCTCTGGTTTCCAGCATGCAGATTTGTTCACATGTTCAGTATATAGCCCTTTTGATTGCCTGGTTTTATGTGCAGTTTTCAGATTCAGCTCCCCATACTTTATCAGTTCTAAACACTATTCCTCATTGGGGCTGATAACCAACAAAGCTTTGGATTTCTGGGTTGGGCATATTTTTAGGGCAACCTTAGTATCTGTGTTCTGGTGGCTCAGATGGTGAAGAGTCTGCCTGCAGTGCAGGAGACCTGGGTTCGATTCCTGGATTTAAAATTAGTTTTCTTTTTTTTAATCAAAGTAATGTATGCATATTGTTTTAAAGGTCAGATAGTAATTTCTTTTAACAAAAAGCAGGCTTGGGAATTCCCTGGTGGTCCAGTGGTTATGACTTGATGCTTTCACTACTGGGCCCTGGGTTCAATCCCTGGTTGGGTATCTAAAATCCCACAAGCCAAGCAGAGTGGCCAAGGAGGGAGGAAAAGACAGATTCTTTTTTTCCCCCACCTTCTTCTACTGCAAGCTTTGCTTATCAGAGGTAACAACTATATGTTCTTTTGGCTATTTTTTCCATTGTTCACATCTTTTTTTCTTTCTTACAGGACATGATCCATTTTCTCATAAATATTTTAAAGTATTTATATAGAAATCTCAAGTTTTTAACAACAAACACAATTGTTTGTGTATTCTTTGGCATGTTAATAGTTATTATGCCATTGTTGTCCCCATAATATTGTGTGTAATAATGTGCACTGAAATTGTCTTTGATAAATGATTTCCTTTATACTGTGTAGAGGAAATTCACTTTTAAATGAATCCTCACAGTTGACTACAGAGTGAGACCCAAGATTCAATGAGAGTCATCACCAGTGCCGCAAAGGTCTGTTGTGAAAGAGTGTTTCTGAGTGATAAGCACTAAAAGAATGCTGTAAAGCAGAGAAAAAGCTGGTGGTCACATACAAAATTTTCAATTGACCATATTAAGAGACATTTGAGCAAATATTAAGAGGCATTAAGAGCAAATTTGAGGGACTTCCCAGGTGTTCCAGTGGTTAAGACTTTACTTTCCAATGCAAGGGGTACAAGTTCAATCCCTGGTAGGAGATCTAAGATCCCACGTAGGGTCTCAGGGCCAAAAAAGCAAAACATAAAACAGAAGCAATATTGTAACAAATTCAATAGACTTTAAAAAATGGTCCACATCAAAAAGTCTTCAAAAAAAAGAGCAAATTTGATCAGAAATTTCTTTTCAACAGTCATTTCAACATGTAAGCAATATGAAAGGACAATAAAGGACAGAAATGGTATGGACCTAACAGAAGCAGAAGACATTAAGAAGAGATGGCAAGAATACACAGAAGAACTGTACAAAAAAGATCTTCACGACCCAGATAATCACAATGGTGTGATCACTCACCTAGAGCCAGACATCCTGGAGTGTGAAGTCAAGTGGGCCTTAGAAAGCATCACTACGAACAAAGCTAGTNAGTACATAGTTTATGTTGAGGAAGATGAAGAAGTTTTAGGAATAGATGATAGTGATCACCATACAGCACTGTGAGTGTATCTAACTCCTGAATCTGAATTGTACACTTACAAATGGTTAAAATGAGAAATACCATGTTATGTGTATTTTATTATAATAAAAACAATGAAGTCTACATCTAAAACTAATACAATGTTGGACTCCCCTGGTGGTCCAATGGTTCAGACTCAGCACTCCCAATGTAGCAGGCACAGGTTTGATCCCTGGTTGGTGAACAGGACACAGTACAGCAAAATAAACAAACTAGTACAATGTTACATATCAATTGTATCTCAATAAAAATTAACTAATTGACTTAAAAGAAACAACAACATCAAACAACAATGGATCAAAGGCCTAAATGTAAGAATTAAAACCAGTCCATCCGAAAGGAGATCAGTCCTGGGTGTTCATTGGAAGGACTGATGCTGAAGCTGAAACTCCAATACTTTGGCCACCTCTTGCAAAGAGTTGACTCAGTGGAAAAGTTCCTGATGCTGGGAGGAATTGGGGGCAGGAGGAGAAGGGGACGACTGAGGATGAGATGGTTGGATGGCATCAACGACTCGATGGACATGAGTTTGAGTAAACTCTGGGAGTTTGTGATGGACAGGGAGGCCTGGCATGCTGCGATTCATGGGGTCGCAAAGAGTCGGACACGACTGAGCGACTGAACTAACTAAACTCTATCAGGGGGTAAAATCCTATCTAATGGAAAATTCATGCCCTTGTTGATCTGATATTATTTACCCTTTTCGTTAAGGATTGTAGTGATGTGTTCAGTTGTGGCCAAGTCTTTGTGACCCCATGCACTGTAGCCCATCAGGCTGCTCTGTCCATGGAATTTTCCAGGGAAGAATACTGGAGTGAGTTGTCATTTCCTTCTCCATCATTAAGGACTACTAACTAAAAAATCAACTGAGGATCGCATACAAAAAACATTTGTTTGAGATTTTCAAAGGAAAAAAATAGAAAATACTTTAATCATTTTTAAAATGATTTCTGGATAAGAACTCAGAATTTCATTAATTCAATGTAGAAAATCATATTATTCATATATAATAAGTGTCTGCAACTTGCCTAGAGAGAGGAGAATAAGAATTGAGTCCAAGCCCCTCATGCTTTTTTGTTTTTCAGCATCAGTGCAGAAGGAAGAGGAGCAAAGAGGGAGCCTTTGGTAGGTAAGGTTCTGACTGTTCAGTCCATAGCACTAAAGGGTTTAACCTTAATCTCTCCTTTTCATGACCCAGGTCCACATCCACAGTCTCTAGGGATGTCAGCTGCTAGAGCTCAGCCCTCTTAGAAAACAAAGCTCTCCTCAGGGAGAGTCATGGGAAGGAGTTAGAACCAAGCACGCTTGGTCGGGTCCCTGCTGGGTCTGTCCTTTGAGTGGAGGAACGGTGGAGTCGGCTAGTGGGTCTTGCCCACCAGGGGGCAGTGTGAGACACAGTGGAATGGATATCTATAGGCCGGCCTTTGGGGTCCTGATTTGGGACAGATTGTTTTAACTTTCCTAAGGCTCAGATTCCTCCTTGAGTTACACTTGATCTTCATCCCTCATAGCGTGGTTATGAGGATCAGATGGGCTACAGTACAAACATTATTCCATACCTGAGCCTGTCTACTGTTGTTACTCTTTGACCTTGTGTACTAATGCTTGGGGCTCTTGGATTCTAGTCTCCCAAGAGCCTCCCCCCCAGAGAACAGTTTTGTTGAGCCTCCTATAAGATCCTTTGCTTCTATATTTGACCAAGTCTCCCAGTTACCTAGGAGAATTTTCCAGAAAGAGTGCATGTGACATGAGACCTGCTTGCTCTTTGGGAAAGCAGGTGTTGATGAATCTCTTCTCCTGTTCACTTCTTCCTAGCATGGCCTCTTGTGGTTGCCTGGCCCCCATGCAGCCGAGGTTGACATGAGAAGGTAATACTATAGGGAAGGGAATGTGAGAGAAACCCCTCCTTGAGGAATAAAAGAAGTATCTTGAAGTCAGTGACATGGGGAATGTGCCTCCTGCCAGGCCTGCTGTGTCCTTCTATCCCCATTCAGTTTGTGCATCCTGTCTTCTGCACCCATCTGGGAAAACTTCTTGATGAGAGCAGTTTGTAGCAAGATCCCTGCTGAGAGGATCATGATAGGGTGACCGTGGAAGCTGATCTTCTGATGCTTAAGTAGGTTGGGAAGCTGCTGTGTCTTCTGTGTCCCTTTGGCTATGTCCCCTGGTTCTCTGCCTGAGCCAACTTCTCTCCCCTTCTCTGGCATCCCCACTCTCACCAGACCCTTTTGAAACCAGTTAAGAGCCCTCTCACACTGTCTTATTTATCCCTGTGTCAGCCTGAGGACCTGCAGAAACCCGTCTTCCCACACTGTACCTGTCTTAGTTCATTGTCTCCCTTCCTTTAATTGTAGCCCAGCATCGCAGTTGGGCTACAGCTGCCATGTTGGGCTACATCACCTCAGGCCTACATCTGCCTTATAATGCACATCAGTGGCCTTCTTTCTGTCATTAGAGGTCACTTGGACGTATGCCCCCGTATTTTTGCCGATCTATTTTTCTCATCCTCTGAAACTTTATTTCTTCCTCCTGTGGAGCTTTCCAGGCCACTGGGTACCCTCCTTGTCTTTTTATTCACTTAATGTTCTTTCACTCCACCCCTAACTTTTATCTTTATTCCAGGATCTCTACTACTAGACCCTATTGCCCCTCAAACTCTCAAGACTGAGACTGTTTATAACCAGTCTTTTCATTACTCTCACTACCTTTTGGCTACCAGACCTTTTTGCCACTGATTCCTACTTTCTTACTGGATTATCCTCCACCTCTAACATTTGCCTTTTCCCCTCTTCCTTCAGAGCACACTCAGGTCCTATTCTCTAGCTAGACTTTGTGTCTGGACCATTTTACCTCACCTAACTCCTGACTCAGGATATCAGCCTCTTACACAGGAATCTCTCTTATTCATTTTTTAAAATACTACTTCTAAACATTGAGATATAGTTCCCATAGCATAGAATTCACCCTAAGAAGTGTACAATTCATAGTTTTTTTTTTATTTTCTCGAGGTTAGGCAATCACCACCACTAATTCCAAAACAAATTCTTCATTTCAACAAGAGTTATACCATTGACATACTGCTCATTCCTCCCTTTTCCCAGCCCCTGGCAATCACTAATATACTTTCAGTCTCTCTGGATGTGCCTGTTCTACATATTTCATGTAAGTGGAATATATAACTGAAATTTTGTGTCTAGCTTCTTTCACATAACATAAGATTTTGAAAGTTTATCCTTGTTGTAACATGTACTACTACTTCATTTCTTTTTTATGGCTGAATAATATTCCATCAAAACATTTGGATTTCCCAGCAATGTACAAGAGTTTCTTCTTGACCAGTGATGTTGACACTTCTCATGTGTTTGTTGGCTACATAAATATCTTATAGTTTGGGAAAACTTCTATTCAAGTCTTTTGCCTATTTTAAAATCGGGTAGATTGTCTTTTTGTTGTTGAATTTAAGAGTATGTTATGTATTCTGGATACTAAACCCTTATAAATACATGACTTGCAAATACTTTATCCTGTTCTGTGAGTTATCTGTTCACTCTCTTGATAGTGTCCTTGGAAGTACAAAAGTTTTTAATTTTGTTGAAGTCTGATTTTTCTATTTTTCCTTTGGTTGCTCAAAAATTTGGTGTCATATCTAAGAATCCATTGCCAAATCCAGAATTATGAAGATTTACTCCTGTGAGTTTTTCTAAGAGTTTTATGGTTTCCAGTTCAGTTCAGTTCAGTTCTGTCACTCATAGTGTCCGACTCTTTGCAACCCCATGAATCGCAGCACGCCAGGCCTCTCTGTCCGTCACCAAATCCTGGAGTCCACCCACACCCATGTCCATCGAGTCGGTGATGCCATCCAGCCATCTCACTCTCTGTTGTCTCCTTCTCCTCCTGCCCCCAGTCCCTCCCAGCATCAGGGTCTTTTCTGAGTCAACTCTTCACATGAGGTGGCCAAAGTATTGGAGTTTCAGCTTCAGCATCAGTCCTTCCAATGAACACCCAGGACTGATCTCCTTTAGGATGGACTGGTTTTAATTCTTACATTTAGGCCTTTGATCCATTGTTGTTTGATGTTGTTGTTTCTTTTAAGTCAATTAGTTAATTTTTATTGAGATACAATTGATATGTAACATTGTACTAGTTTGTTTATTTTGCTGTACTGTGTCCTGTTCACCAACCAGGGATCAAACCTGTGCCTGCTACATTGGGAGTGCTGAGTCTGAACCATTGGACCACCAGGGGAGTCCAACATTGTATTAGTTTTAGATGTAGACTTCATTGTTTTTATTATAATAAAATACACATAACATGGTATTTCTCATTTTAACCATTTGTAAGTGTACAATTCAGATTCAGGAGTTAGATACACTCACAGTGCTGTATGGTGATCACTATCATCTATTCCTAAAACTTCTTCATCTTCCTCAACATAAACTATGTACTCATTAAATAACAACTCTCTCTTCTTCCCCCTCTCAGAACCCTAGCTTCTGGTATCCTTTATTCTACTTTCTTTCCCTGTGAATTTGCCTACTCTAGGTACCTCTTATAAGTAGATTCATATAATATTTGCCCTTCTGTGTCTAGTTAATTTCACATGTTTTTTTTTTCCATTTATTTTTATTAGTTGGAGGCTAATTACTTTACATCAATTTCACATGTTTTAAGGATTCACCCATGTTGTAGAATATATAAAAATTTTCATTTCTCTTTTGGTTGACTTATATTCCACTGTGTGTGTATATATACTATAATTTGTTTATTCATTCATCTGTTGATGAACACTTGGGTTGTTTGCAACTTTTGGCTATTGTGAATAATGCTGCTATGAACTTTGTTGTACAAATATATGTTCAAGTTCCTGCTTTTAATTCTTTTGGATATATACCTAGGAATAAAATTGCTGTGTCATATGGTAGTTCCAACTTTAACTTTTTGTTTTAATATTTATTTTTATTTATTTATTTGCACTGAGTCTTAGTTGCAGCATGTGGCATCTAGTTCCCTGACCAGGGATCGAACCCAGACCCCTGCACTGGGAGCATGGAGTCTTAGCCACTGAACCACCAGGGAAGTCCCCACCTTTAACTTTTTAAGAAACCACCAAACTGTTTTCCTCAGTGGCTGCACTATTACATTCCCATCAGTAATGCACAAGGGTTCCAATTTTTCCATATCCTTGTAAACATTTCTTATTTTCTTTGTTTTTCTTTTTTTTCTTTTTTAAGTTTTATTATAGCCATCCTATTTGGTAGAAGTGGTATCTCATTGTGGTTTTAAAATTTTATTTATTTATTTTAAAATTTATTTTACTATTTATTTTTGGCTGTTCAGGCTTTCTCTAGTTGCAGAGAGCAAGGGCTACTCTAATTGCAGTGCACAGGCTTCTCATTGCGGTGACGTCTGTTGTTGCAGCTTGTGGGTCAGTAGTTGCAGGTCCTGAGCTCTAGAGCACAGACTTGATAGTCATGGCACTTGGGCTTAGTTGCAACATGTGGGATATTCCCAGATCAGGTATCAAACCTGTGTCTCCTGCATTGGCAGGGAAATTCTTTACCACTGAGCCACCAGGGAACCCCTATACTATTTTAATTAATGTAGTTTTGTGGTAAGTCTTGAAGTCAGAAAGTGTGAGTCCTCCAACTTTATTCTTCTTTTTCAAGATTGTTTTGGTTATTTGAGGCTCAGATGGTGAAGAATATGCCTGCAATGCAGGAGACCTGGGTTTGATCCCTGGATTGAGAAGATCCCTTGGGAGAAGGGAATGGCTATCCATACCAGTATTCTTGTCTGGAGAATTCCATGAACAGAGGAGCCTGGCAGGCTATAGTCAATAGGAATGCAAAGAGTTGGTCATGACTGAGCAACTAACACCTTCGCTTTTTCACCAGAGAAGCCCTATACTCTTTTAATTGCAATAGTTTTGTGATAAGTTTTGAAATCAAGAAGTGTGAGTCCTCCAACTTCATTCTTCTTTTTCAAGACTGTTTTGGCTATTTGAGACTCTTCAGAAATCCATATGATTTTAAGGATGGTCTTTACATTTCTATGAGAAAGGTAGTTGGAATTTTAATAGAGATTATGCTGAATCTGTAGATCACTTTGGGCAATACTGACATCTTCACAATGTTAAGTCTTTTGATCCATGGACACAGGATTCTGTTTATATAGTTCTTTAAGTTCTTTCAGCCATGTTTTGTAGTTTTCAGCATATACATTATTAACCTCCTTGGTTAGATTTTTTATTTTTTTTAATGTTAAGATTTTATTTACAAAGCTTCTTTGTTGTACAGAAAGTAAAAATGCTGTTACAATCTTGGTGTAACTGGTAGCCACGGACAGTTGACTCACCAATCACAGCTATCCACGTTACAGCAAGTCTTACACAAAAACCTAACAACACTTACAATTTTGTTGGGGTGAAGTCCCCAAGCTTGGTGGTGGATTTCCAAGAAGGACTAAATGGAGGAAGGTGGAATGTCACAGGAACTATTCTTTGGCTCTTTGGGTGGGTGGGTGTCCTGGGGTTTGTATCACAGCTACCTTTTTTTTTTTCTTTTAAAAAACAAAACAAAACAGCTACCAAATCCATGTCAGCAGTCCAACCAATACTGAACAGTTCTTTTTTTTGCAGGTTATTGGGGTCTTATTAATCATCTTCTCCTTCATCATCTGTTTTTCTTTTCCTCTTTTCACCTTTCCCGCTTTCTTCCTCTTCTTCATCTTCATCTTTGTCTTCATCCTCATCATCTTCATCAACTTCTCCATCCTGTCCAAATTCTTCTTCCTCCCCATTGACTTCATCTTCATCCTCCTCCCCTTCTTCATCTTCGTCTTCATCATCAAACTCTTCATCATCAAACTCTTCTTCCTCGCTGTCTTCATCCTCCTCCTTATCCTCATCTTCTCCTTCCTCATCATCCTCGTCTTCATCCACACCATCCACCTCGGCATCTGAATCTGGGGCTTCACGATCCTCTCGGTCATAGCCATCCAGATAGGTCAGCTAGGGCAGGAGCCTGAAGACACTCTCTCGGTAGTCATTGAGGTTAGTGACCTCACAGTTAAACAGGTCCAGGCTCTTGAGACATTCCGACTTTTTGAAAGGTTCCAGGGTGCTGATATCTTTCAGTTTATTTCCACTGAAGTTTAGATGTGTAAGATTTGGAAGTTTTTCTGCTAACATATCCAGACCTCCACAAATTCTATTGTCACTGAGCTCAAGCTTTTTCAATTTAGGTAGTTTGGGAAGATTTGAAACTGAAATCAAGCCTACATTTATTAAACTGAGGAACTCTAAGTTCACAAATTAGCTGTTAAGCCCTCAATTTTCCCATCATTTGATTTGCAATTGTCCAGGACAAGTTCTCGAACAGCTGCCGGGGTACAGTTCCTCAGCTCCAGGTGGATCCTCCTCTTCATGTCCATGTTTCTCTCTCTTCCCCCCTCTTCAAACTTAACTTTCCGCGGTGGGGGCGGAGGGCGGAGAGGCGTCCCAGCCTGCGCAGCGAGAGCCGTCGGAAGGGGTCTGCTGGGTCTGCTCGAGGCAGAGGCCGACGGCGCGGTCCTGGGTGGCGGGCGGCGTGCGGGCAGGCGGGCGGAGCCCCCGGGGCCGAGTTACTCGCGGGAGCGGAGAGAAACCACGGAGGGAAAAGGGGCTGGAGCGCAGCTCTGCCCTTGGTCAGATTTATTCTTGAGTGTTTGATGCTGTATATGCTATTAAAAATGGAACTGCTTGCTAATTTCCTTTTTGGAAAAAATGTTTATTTGTGGTGTATGGAGAAACACAATTGATTTTTTGTGTTAATCTTGTACCCTACAACTTTGTTGAATTCGTTTACAGCTCTACCAGCTTTCTTGTGGATTCTTTGGGATCTTCTATACATAAGATCATGTCATCTGTGAAGGGAAAATAGTTTCACCTTTCCTTTTCAATTTGAATGACTTCTATTTCTTTTTCTTATCAGGGAGTACTTCCAGTATAATGTTGAATGACAGCTGTGAAAGTGAGCATCTTTGTCTTGTTCCTGATCATAAGGGGAATGCTTTCAGTCTTTCACCACCGAGTATGATGCTAGCTGTGGGTTTTAAAATATTATTTTATATTTATTATTTTTGCAGTGCTGTGCAACATGTGGGGTCTTAGTTCCCTGACCAAGGATCAAATTTGCACCCCCTTCATTGGAAATGTGGAGTTCTTACCACTGGACCATCAGGGAAGTCCCTAGCTATGGGTTTTTTAAAACATAAATATTCATTGTCATGTTGAGGAATTTTCCTGCTATTCCTTATTTCTGAGTTTCTGGCATAAAAATTCTTCTGAGATGATCATGTGTTGTTTTTTTTTTCTGTGTGTTTTATCAATATGATGTTTTACATTGATTGATTTTCTTATGTTGACTCTCTGTCTCTGTCTCTCTCTCTCTCTATATATATATATATGTGTGTGTATATTACATATGTGTGTGTGCTAAGGCACTTCAGTCATGTCTGAGTTTTTGTGACCCCATGGATGGGAGCCTGCCAAGCTCCTCTGGCCATGGGATTCTCTAGGCAAGAACGAGTTGTAGAATAAATGGAGAGTTGCCACGCCCTCCTCTAGGGGATCTTCCTTTGGGCTTCCCAGATTGTCCTAGTGGTAAAGAACCTGCCTGCCAATGTGGGAGACATAAGGGACGTGGGCTCATTCTTTGGGTTGGGAAGATCCCCTAGAAGAAGGCATGGCAACCCACTCCAGTCCTCTTGCCTGGAGAATCCCATGGATGGAGGAGCCTGGTGGGCTCCACTCCATAGGATCACAAAGAGTTGAACATGACTGAAGTGACTTAGCATGCTTGCTATATATATATATACACACACACACACACACACCCTAGAAGACTCCACTAGTATTTGTGGTAGAGCAGATTTGCTAGCAATGGATTTTTGGGTTTTGTTTATCTGGTCTTAATTTTTCTCCCATTTTTTGGGGTATTTTTGGTGATTTGATTACAGAATTTTTCTTTCAGAACTTTGAGTATGTCATCCAATGCCTTCTGGCCTTCATAGCTCTGATGAGAAATCAGCTGTTAATCTTATCCCTTATACATGATGAGTCACTTTTCTCCTGCCTCTTTCAAGATTGTCATATATTCTGACAGTTTAGTGTGTCTAAATGTGGACCTCTTTGTGTTTATCATACCTAGAACTTGTTAAGCTTCTTGGATGTGTAGACGAGTATTTCATTTAACTTAGAAAGTTTGGGCCATTGTTTTTTTGGATGTTTTTTCTCCCCCTTTCTCTCTCTCCCCTCTTTCTGGGACTTCCACTCTTTGTATGTTGTATAGTTGATGTTGCTCCACAGGTCTTCTAGGCTCCGTTGATTTTTCTTCTTTTTCTTTCTGTTCCTCACATTGGATAATCTCAATTGGCTTATCTTCAGAATTGCTGATTTTTCTTTCGCCAATTCAGATCTCCCAGTCTTTGCTTATCCTTTTGGGACTATTTTATTTATTTTTGTTGCATTGGGTCTATGTTGCTGCTTATGGGTTTTCTCTATTTGCAACGAGCTGGGGCTACTCTTCATTGCAGCGCATGGGCTTCTCACTGCAGTGGTGTCTCTTGTTGTGGGGCACAGGCTCTAGGCACATGGGTTTCAGTGATTGCAGCATGCTGGCTCAGAAGTTGTGGCATGAGGGCTCTAGGGTGTGTCGGCTTCAGTAATTGCAGAATGGGGTCTTCAGCAGTTGTGGCACGTGGTCTCAGTAACTGCAGCTCCTGGGCTCTAGAGCACAGGCTCAATAATTGTGGCACACAGGGTTAGTTGCTCTGTGGCATGTGGAATCTTCTTGGTCCACGGATCAAACCCATGTCCCTGGCACTGGCAGACAGGTTCCTATCCACTGTACCACCAGGAAAGTCCCCTTCTGGGACTACTTTAGAGTCGCCTGCTGATACACAGGACACCCACTCCCAACCACTATGGAACACTGATGACAAACCTAGTCAACTGTGCAGTCTTCAGCAGCTCCCTTACATCCTCAAACCTGGGGGGACCTTTTGCAGCATAAATGGAGCCAGCTTTTCTAGGGTTTCCCCTCTCTGCACAGTGAATCCCTGCAGTTGCTGTCCTGGTTTCTGGTGGTTGCTCCCCCCTGGGGTCCCCTTTTTTATTCAATGAAATTTCTAGTGCCCACTCCTCTATCCCCCTCTAGTTTAAATGCAGGCTAAATATTCCCCACTGGTTCCCCAGTCCTGAACCCTGTTTTATTTCCAGCCCCCTACGTAAGGCCCACCTTCAATCCTTGCTCCCATTCTTACAACCTTCTTCTCTACCCCAGACTAGGGCCTTTGGAGTAATCTTTCTGACCCAGTATAAGACACAATCTCCCATTCCAACTGAAATAATACCTGCTACAGAAGCAGATTGAAAATTTGTGGGATTTGACTTTTTTCAGTATGGCCTGGGTACCCAGCATTACATTTCAGTTTCCATTTTTCTTAGAAAACTTCCTATAAATATTATTTGGAACTAACTAAAACACCACCTTTGAAAGAGTTCCATGTTTAACACTAGTGGGTCCAGGCCTGCAGGAGCTGAGTCTCTGGCACTGATGTGGCCTCAGGGCAACTAACAGACAAATCTCAGAAGGAATGATCATAGGCTTTCACAGTCCTCAGTGTTTATAGGTCAAAATAGTGATGATCTAAGAATGACCACAAATCCCTCATGTAACTTCCAAGAATGGCAAAGCTCAGGGTGTAGGCAGAGCTGCAAGGCCAGCTTCAGGGCTTTCTCATTTAAATGCCCCTGACCTCAGACAGCCCGGCCTCTAAGGTGTCATAGGCTATCCCCAGAGTACTCAGTGAGGACACGACAGTTTCTGACCTCCCAGATCATCCATGTCCACAGGGAGGTGGGAGAGAGCAGTCTGTCTCAGGAGACCTAGATCCCAATGCTTCAGGCCTCAGGAAAGAGCTAGAATAAGAATTTAGCCCTGGGTGAAGAGAGGGACAACCCTAGGAGACCTGAATAGGAAAGCACTGCATAGGGGATGCAGGATTAAGGATCTCCCTGCCCAGGATGGGATATTAGCAGACATTTTGTAAACAGAAGCCCCTCAGTTTCTGCACTGGAAGGAAGTCTTCACCAAAAGTACCTTGAATAAAAGAATGAACTTTTCTCATAGGTGTTGTCCCAGGACAAAAAGCAAGGGCAGGAAGGTCCCTATTAAAAGCCTACACTTTGTCAGCCTCTGTATGGAGCCCAGGCTCAGGTGAAGACAGAGTTGTCTTCATGGCATTGGGATACTGAAGTTCAGGAGGGCATGGTCATTGTAGGCCTGATCCTTGTTCTCTGGCTAGCATATCTTTTGTGGAGGATAGTCTCTATTTCTTATAATGCAGGATATTTATTCTTTTCAAATCTTTGTTTCTTCTCATAGCTGAGTGATATCTTCTGTCTTTGCTGAATTTTGGGTCCACATTTTGGAAATTCTGGAAATCTGGGCTTAGAGGAAGGAAGGAAGGAGTCAGCTTTACCTTATATTGAGGGCCTACTTGGTCTTCATAGAGGTGAGCAAGGCTCAGGAGGTAGGCTTACAGTGAACATCCACCCCCATCACAGCTTCATTGTTCTTGCTCAGATGCCATATTTTTAAAATACTTTATTTTTTTCATAATACTGTCATTACAAAAAAATACAAAAAAACTACTATAAAAACATTCAAGGGCTTTTCAAAGTGAGAAAACCTAAAAACCCCATCCCAGAACCTGGCTGAAGCAGTCTTACCCTAGCTCCTTCACTATTTGACCTTTATACAATTGTGGGAGTGGGGTGGGGTCACACAGGCATCAAAGGGCTAGAAATTCCCCACGCAGCCTCTATGAAGGGTAAGAAATAAGTAGCTTCATATATCACAAAAATGGGATTTGGAAGTTTAGGGGTGGCTAGGCCCTGAGTTCAGAGGTGTGGGGAGACACCTGTGACCCTGAATCTCTTGGTGGGGAATAGCTGCCACCTGACCCCAAAGCCCTTTTGCTTCCTGATGAAGGTTGGAAGACAGACTGTGCCCTCCACCTCTTAGCCTTAATACAGCAGGCCCCCTCCCCTTCCTCTACCTTGCATATTCCTGGGAGCAACAGGGAGGACAGAACTTCCAGCTCTGCAGGGTCTGGGCAGGGTAGCTGTCAAGAAGGCTGCTGAGGGTCCCATTCACTTCCCTGCCCCAAATGAAAAGTGTCTCGTGCTCAATGGCCCGGTTCATGGGTTACGGACCTTCCCTTCTTATCTCAACCCTGGAGAGGCACACACAGCTCTAGGTATGTGTTTTGTGTGCATGAATATGTGTGTGATAACCTTGGACACTGTGGACTTGAGGGTGGGACTGGGGTGGGAAAGCAGTGTCCATTTTATCCTCTTCCTCCCTCAATAGGAGGAAACTGAAGGGAAGGGAAAGGAGAGGTATTAGCAAAGCTGAGAGGGGAAGGAGGACATGCTATTTACAGGCGTGGACAAGGAATCTCTATATCTTCAAGTAGCACTCAGG